AGTGGCGTAATGGAAGTGTCGGGTTGATAAATGTGGGAGAGAGTCTAGGTAGGGTGTGGATCAGCAATAGGTGTTGGTGTATGTGGTGGGTAGAATTGGCAAGAGGTGTGTGTGTGTGTGTGTGTGTGTGTGTGTGCGTGCGTGCGAAAAAGAGTAAGGTAGTGAGTATTGGTATGCGTGGAAGGAAGATGTGACAGAAGGTGTGCGCTATAGGCAAGGGGTGCAGGAATATTTTGAGGTGGTGGGTGGGACTAAAACAGGAGGTTGTGATTCATCTAGTGATATATATAATATCAGCAATAGCAGCAGTATATACAAAGAGGTGTGTGTGTGTGTGTATGCGTGTGCATTTGCAAGCTTTTTGGTAGTGTAGTGTGTTGGGGGGGGGGGGAGAGAGCACCGGGTGCGGGTGTTCTTCTTCTATTGCGATCATTTTTGGATGGGTTGGCAGATAGTGGATGGTGGTAGGCAAGTTATGCCAAGAATCCAGTTCCCATATCTTCTTTTCTTCTGTTGATAGTTGGTTTCTTGTCGCGAATGGCATATGCCTCACGGATCCGGAGCCTCAGCTCATCCCTCTCCGTGAGCTGAGCAATCTCGTACATAATCTCTGGGGTGGCGTTCGGGTGTTCCCTAGCGTAGTGCACACCGAATGCAGACTTCTTGTCATGAGATTTTGCAGCATTTGTGTGCTCTTGGGCCCGGGTGTGCACTTGCCTCCCAGTCAAGCCGACGTATCTCTCGTGACAAAGGTGGCATGTAGCTTCGTACACGGCAAATCTGCAGGTGCATTTCTTCCTGAACATAGGGCATTCGCGCATTCTGCATTTTTCCGGTTCTCCTTTTTTCTTCGTGAGTTCTTGGATGGTTGGGGGTCGAGGGTTAACGAGGCGTGCCGTTATGCCGTTTTTCTTAAGTGCCTGTCGTACTTGGCCGTTAACCTTGTCGGAGATGTACGGTATTCTAAATACCAGTTGTTTCCCTTTTGTTTGTTTACTTGTGTTTCTTCTTCGGGCTCGCGCTTTGATGATGTGTTCTGCAGAGTAGCCGTTCCCTGCAAGTTTATCTGAGATGAGGCGTCTGGCTTCCTCCGCAAACTCAGGCGTGCTGTTGTCTTGTGCTCGTTTGTATTCATTGTTAATGACCGCCATCTTAACCGCCACAGGCACTTAAGAAAAACGGCATAACGGCACGCCTCGTTAACCCTCGACCCCCAACCATCCAAGAACTCACGAAGAAAAAAGGAGAACCGGAAAAATGCAGAATGCGCGAATGCCCTATGTTCAGGAAGAAATGCACCTGCAGATTTGCCGTGTACGAAGCTACATGCCACCTTTGTCACGAGAGATACGTCGGCTCGACTGGGAGGTAAGTGCACACCCGGGCCCAAGAGCACACAAATGCTGCAAAATCTCATGACAAGAAGTCTGCATTCGGTGTGCACTACGCTAGGGAACACCCGAACGCCACCCCAGAGATTATGTACGAGATTGCTCAGCTCACGGAGAGGGATGAGCTGAGGCTCCGGATCCGTGAGGCATATGCCATTCGCGACAAGAAACCAACTATCAACAGAAGAAAAGAAGATATGGGAACTGGATTCTTGGCATAACTTGCCTACCACCATCCACTATCTGCCAACCCATCCAAAAATGATCGCAATAGAAGAAGAACACCCGCACCCGGTGCTCTCTCCCCCCCCCCCCCCCCCCCCCCCCCCCCCCCCCCAACACACTACACTACCAAAAAGCTTGCAAATGCACACGCATACACACACACACACCTCTTTGTATATACTGCTGCTATTGCTGATATTATATATATCACTAGATGAATCACAACCTCCTGTTTTAGTCCCACCCACCACCTCAAAATATTCCTGCACCCCTTGCCTATAGCGCACACCTTCTGTCACATCTTCCTTCCACGCATACCAATACTCACTACCTTACTCTTTTTCGCACGCACGCACACACACACACACACACACACACACACACCTCTTGCCAATTCTACCCACCACATACACCAACACCTATTGCTGATCCACACCCTACCTAGACTCTCTCCCACATTTATCAACCCGACACTTCCATTACGCCACTCCACCTTCTACGCACACCAACACCTTCTACCAACCTACACTTCTACCCGAAGGGTGTACCCCTTCCCACCTGTATCGACCCGCACCTAACCTTCACCATTAACTTAGATACATGTATTTCCCACCTTCACCTTCTCACCTCACCTCATCTCACCACCATCACTGAGAACCCCTCCACAAAAACATCCGGCGACTCCGTGACCTGTAGTCGAGGGGTACCTCAAGGCTCTGTCCTGGGCCCCGTTCTTTTCACAATCTACACAAGACACGTAACAGACGTCACACCAACTCACACATCTAACATACTCTACGCCGACGATATAGGACTCTACACATCGAGCAGCTGCATCAACACGATACAGGACCGACTATCAGAGAGCTTCGATGCGGTTAAATCACACCTCACGGAACTGGGCCTCCTACTGAACCCCGACAAAACTCAACTATTAATCGTCCGCCGGAAGACAACCCCATTTCCACCTACCTTCACTGTGATCTGTGGTAACTTCCCAGTATCCCCTTCCCAGTGTGTCCGTTACCTTGGAGTGCTAGTCGACCAGCACCTTGCCTTCAAGGAGCAGGTCGGGAAAGTTGTTGCTGACGTCAACCGTAAGCTGGCCGCATTCCGCAGAATACGACATCACATCACCACCCAGGCACAACGTTCCTTTTACCTAAGCATTATCCAATCCAGCATGGAGTACGCCAGCAACTGCTACGTTCACACGATATCAGCAACCCTATACAACACACTCATTCGATGCTTCAAACGTAGCCTCAGGATAACATTTGGCTACCCACCATGCCACCCAACCGCCACCATTTGTCAACGCCACAAAATTATTCCTGTCGCCATCCGTTATAACCTAAAGATATTTTGCCTTGTCTATAAATGTGTGCATGGCCGCCGCAGCCCTCTACTGTACTTGCCGAGCTTTTTGTACTTAGATCAAATAGCAACCATACCAATGCCTTGACCAGGGGACAGTCCGCCCTGGCTTTAGCCCTGTCTAATGCTTCGTCACGGTACGGTTTCTATGCTTTGCCTTACCTGGCTGCTGACAGGTGGAATTCGCTTCCAGCAGCATGCCGCCAGGCAGCCTCCTTTGCAATGTTCAACAGTACTCTTCGCAGCCTCTTTTGCAACACATAATGGCACAGTATGCAGCCACCGTTTTCTTTTTTCTTTACTCTATTTCACGCACTTACGGCTTTCTTCATTCAGCTCTATTTCACGCACTTACTTAGGGTACCCTGTAAAAAGACTCACAGTCTGTGGGGATTGCCCTAGTAAAATAATAAATACTACTACTATTAACCCATGCCACCACCCAAAGCCCTCCATTCTTTATCCACTGACGATGTTGTTCAGAACAACGAAACGTCTGGAGAAGTATCGTAAAAATTTCTATCGTTATTAAATGTTATCAAATATACCACTCTTTGGTCTAGAAAGAATACTTTTTGATAAAAAAATATGCTCCGGCATAATATACGGATTCCAACGTGTAAGGTCGGCATAATCTTTCGGTTTAGACAAAAGTTATGCTTAGGCCATAATACAGCTTTGTCAGAAAGCCTGCAGATGTTTTTTTTAAATACCCCAGTTACGACTCCTTGTCATAGCCCTTGGCGGATTATGCCGGCATAATTTTTTATTTTGGTATAATCTTGGGATTTCGTCAAAAATTATGCTCCGGCAAAATAATATTATACGGATTCCAACGTGTAAGGTCGGCATAATCTTTCGGTTTAGACAAAAATAATGTTTGGGCATGGCCGTGTGTGTATGCGTGGTTTCTCAATCCTCTATGTACAGCGTGAATACATAGCGGAACCGAGCATAATTATATTTGTTGGCATAATTGTGGCATAATCAAAAGCATAATTTGACGATTGGCCGAGCATACATGTAGTCCGCCAATGACTACACTACGCTAAGCTCTTCCATCTTCCACAGTGAGTGAACAAAGTACACACTACTACTGTGATCTGTATCTTTCTGTTGTGTGTGGGTGTGTCTGCGGTGTACGCAGAGGCGCCAGCTAGCTGGCAAAAATGGCTTTTCTCTTACCTCGAATGCCGTAGAATCCCGCGGATAAGCCCATGGGCTTATCTGTTTCACAAGGACATTTCAGTGGGCTTATACGAGAACATGGGCTTATATGCGGGCATGGGCATATACGCCGACACCAAGTTGTGCTATTGAAAAGTACCAAGGAAGTGAGAAGTGCATTGCTGAAAACCGCTGTGCAAACAAAAACAACCGATTGTTGTGCTGAAATGTACGAAAAAAGCTATAATGTGCATGACTACGTACCTGGTATGGCCAATAGTCCATAATTTATGGACTCTCGGTATGACCTAGGCCAATGGGCTTGTACGTTGAAGCTTTGTGATGTTCGAACGAACCCTGGGCTTATGCGCGAGCATGGGTTTATACGCGGGTGGGCTTATCCGCGGGATTCTACGGTGGTTCTTTACAATCTGTATCACAATCTGAGGGATTCAGCAATACAGGAAATGAAAGGAATCCGATCGAGCCACTCAGGTACACGCCGGACGTTGCGCACCTCTACATCTAGCCTGTACTGTCGTGGACATGGAAATCCGGTCGCACGGCCCCAGTGCGCTGGCCATGATGCAGACTGCACGCAGCGTTCATGATTCTGAACGCGCTGAGGGCGCCGGCCCCGGTCAATCGACTGGATTCCCATGTCCGCTACAGTACTACTAGTACAGTGTCAGTAGTCAGTGTGTGCACATGTGCATGACGTAGACACGTAGATCTACACACATGCGTTAGCAACCCAAACACCAGAGATTCAGTGATTTCACACGTGCTACACGACTTGTCTGCGACGCATACTAGTACTAGCACTACTACTACTAGTCTAGAGTCAGTAGATCTACTAGTAGTAGTAATATTACTAGTATTAGTATATTTACTAGTACTGTACTGTAGTAGTAGTCCTCAGTAGTACTAGTAGTAGTACTTGAAGTACTGCTAACAAATGCCACACGCAAGCCCGGGAAATGGTAGTTCAGTCAGTTTTCTTCTCTTCGCCGGCCTGGTGCTCTTCTGAAACACACTTGATTGTACTTCTCTGAGGTTGGAATTTGTTTTCAGCGTAGAATCGAACGCCCGAACGCAGGAGATGGGTGTTGTTTCGCTAATAATTCGCCTTGTGCTGAACTTGGCCGTGGGAGCTGGTTCCGTGATGATCCTATACGGCATAGTATCGTCCAGGTAAGTGCATGAACATTCCAGAGCGGTGAAGATACTTCAACAATAACGCAACTCCAGACTATCAGAGTCGCTTCTCGGCGGTGTGGAGTTGAAGGGGATGATGAAGAGGAGAGGGTCGCCATGCTTGTGTTCTAGCTATTAGCGATCCCAAGGTCGCTAGTAATAGCTAGTCGCAATTCGAAATACGATAAGCATGCTTGGTGCTTCACAAGCGAATCGAGGACACGAAAGAATGAAGAACTCATGGCACACAGATGCAATTTTGGATAGTGTCGCCTATCGTCAGCATGCCCATGGGTTATCTATGCTACATTTTCCGCCCGACCAGACATTCTAAGCACTGTCCATTCATCATTCATTGATCTAGGCAAACGTTCAGCATGGTGATTGGATGATGCTTCATTCAGCCAGATGCTTAGATAATTGTATGTTGCTTTTTGTTCCAGGCAGACATCTAAAAGAAAAATAACTATGGTTCCAGGCAGACTTACGTAGGATTGTTGTTAGTTTATGGACTTCACGCAATGGCATAAACAAAGAGAAGAGAATTATCATCTAGCAATTGCTCCATTCACTTGTTATTCAATGTAATGATTGCGCTGAATGATGAATGAATGGTCTTGAAAAAAAAAAGTTTATTGGCATGAAAATCATGTTGACTCTTGCCATAATCAGAAACAGGGACTGTTGTGTGCGCGCAAGTGTGAGAGCTAGGCGAGCAAGTGTATTGATGAAGGTTGGAATGGTTTCATGATATATAATGGTGTTATAGTCAAACCTGTCCTTGCGGACACCTGAGAAAAAAGGACGCCCGTGTAGTGAGGACAGCTCGTCGCAGCAGTCACATTTGAGTTTGGATGTACATTTTAGTACGCGCAGACACTTGAAAATGCGGCCGCCTGCAAAATGCGAAATGCGGACACTCTCGCGGGCCCACAGTACTGTGTTTCAGTGATCTCAGCCTGACAAGTGTGGACACGCTGACTGGGAATACTGGGGTCACGCACTCCGTGATACATTATGTATCAAAATACATCGGAGGAGGCTGTTGCCTGATGAGTGCGAAAGCATGACACTTTAAGTAGCAACAAACAGACCTTGATCGCCCTTGTTATTCTGAAAAGAAGAGGTCGGTGCGACTTCGACGTTACTTGGGGAATTGTGTTTTGCTCCCTACATGGGAGGGCGCCGCCGGCGGGAAAACCGGGAGCTCCCATGCAGGCAGCAGCAACACACAATTCCCCTTGTTGTTCTGTACTAGTATGTGTGAAAAATAATTATCTTAACTCGTATCCATCTGTCCTTTTCCTTTCGACATTTATTTATGGCTCAACATCCGAGTTTCAAATACTTTATTTAATTTTTAATTTTTATTAACTGCATGACTACATGTACCGTACGTGCACATGTACACAACATGTACGTGTCCCCCTGGATAGACTAAGGCTTAGGTGCATAAAGCACATTGGAGAAATGTATAATTATTTTTGTCGCATTTTAAAATTGCAATGAACAAAATGACGTATAGTAATTGGTGCAACTGAGAATTCCGGACATTTGACCTCAGTCCCTTGCGTGTCCTTACTTGTCAAGTTTGATTGCATGGGCATGATCATGCAAACGACTCTGCGGCATTGATGTAAACACTGCAGCTTGCATTCAGACTTGCTTGTGTATGTGTGTGTGTATGTGTGTGTGTGTGTGTGTGTGTGTGTGTCCCCCCCCCCCCCCCACCAAGTCTGATAGAGCGTTGTATGGTGTTCGCTGTTCTCGCTGCAACCGTCAGTTCCGTCGACAGAGTGACCTGAGTCGTCATCTCCGTTTCTGCTCCTGACAATGACTCTGGCTCCTTTCGGAGTGGTGTGGCCCTTGTGGCAACCAAGCTACAGTAGTAGTAGTAGTAGTGTGTGTGTGTGTGTGTGTGTGTGTGTGTGTGTGTGTGTGTGTGTGTCTTTGTGTGTGAATACCAGGCTAAAATTAGTGGCGGTCAATTCATCAGCCTTGCAAGCTGTTGAATGGTGTAATCCCAGCACAAGTTGCTATGTCTAACATTGCTGTTCGCTATCATCGCTTCCGCGATGGGCAGGTCTGAGGTCTGAGGTGTGTGTGTGTGTGTGTGTGTGTGTGTGTGTGTGTGTGTGTGTGTGTGTGTGTGTGTGTATGGATGTCTGCATGTGTATGTACGCGTGCGTATGTGTGTGTGTGTGTGCATGTGTGTGATGTGTAGTGTATATGTGCACGTGTGTGTATGTATGTGTGCATGTGGGTGTGAGTGTTTGTGTTTGTGTGTGTGGGAACACAAACTCTGGAGTTCCCTTACACAGAGTGGAGCTTCCCAAGCACAGCTATGGCGCCGATGGTACATGCCTGCTTTGGACTTCTAAGTCCGCGGATGGTGATAAGCTAATTACTGGGCCGGTAGCCATGTGTAACTTTGCAATTGCTTTCGCGTCTGTTTCCATCCTTCTTGCCATACTGCTGACAATCATCTTCCTCCGCAGCATTGCGACCGGCACAGCCGACAAGTAAGCTTGCTAATTTACTGCAAGACCAGATATTCTAACGTCAATTAAAGTTATAGTTCTCCCGCTATTTGCGGGTTAGCGAGGTGAAAGTTAAACGGATTCCGTCTCAAAACCGGCAAATAATTGTACAGGTCCACATCGTTTTGTGCATAATGAACTCAAGTGTTAACGAATTGATTAAATTCGTTAAACCGTTAGAATTAAATGTTCGTTAACATTACTGGCCTCACAGTAAGCCCTCCGGTCATGATAGTTGTGGTATGACGGAAGAGAAGATCGGGGGAAGAAAGCCAGCATTGTATTGAGCTGGAGGTTAGAAAGGCCTGGCGCCAGACAGATGGAATGCTCTTCCCACTGCCTGCCGTCAGGCCCCGTCTCTTACTCTGTATGTAAACATGGTAAAAATTCACCTAGGGTTCCCAGTAAAAAGGCAACGCCTGTTGGGACTCCCCCGGTGAAATAATAAAATCTACTACTGCTGCTGCTGCTGCTGCTGCTGCTGCTACTACTACTACTACTACTAAGGCAGTTATGTATTCCGTGTTCAACACGATATAAGCCACTGGTTTAGATCTACCCAAATGTGTTGGATCTAGTTGATAATGAAACCACCTGGCTCAGTGGACCACTACAGCCGGGACCGAGGGATGCTATTTGCAGGCAAGCTACCCTGGATAAGAAGACCACCTGTAGACGGGTACCACTATTTTTAAAAAGGTCCCGCGAGCGGTCGACTTATAGGCAATTTACACGACAGGCACTTGCAAGTTTTACAGTGAATGATTCATGAGAAAAGTGACTGCGTGGATTCACACGTCTGCACTCGAGGACAGGCACGTTTGCATTTTTGTATGATTCCCCCACCAGTTGCCATGGGTATAGGAATATCAGCGAACGAACTGTGCAGCGTATTCGCGCTTGTCTTACGTCACACAAAAAATTAATCTATGAGGCGCACGGTCGACAAGAAAAAATGTCGATCGCAGAAATCAGGTCGCGGGTCAGGCTCAGCGCAGGCCGGAGTAAAAGTTAAATTCGACACTCGACAAGAAGCCTGTTTGCTTGTTTGCCTGAGCTCGAATCATTCAGGAAAGGAGACATCAGGAGCTAATGTTCTTCGGTGCCTATGACTGGTAAACGTTCCCAAGCAAAGACATGACAAAGGAAGAAGACGTTTGTAGCTGGATGGAGCTATGTTTGCACCAAAGAACAGTACTCGTTCTTCTCTGCCAACAGGCCACATGGTGCCCTTTGGTTGCGTCTGTAACTTACTTGTTGATTTTGCTCTAGCCATGCCAAGCAAGTTTCCAAGACTTGGGCCCCTACTCCCTTGTCTAGACAGCCATGACCAGAAACGTCTTGGGCGAAGGTCCTCGACTCGAGAACAGGTAGTATTGTCACTGTCATTCAAAACTTCAAAAGCGCCTCGCGTGCATGGTACATGGTGCCCAAGTAATATTTCAATTACTTGGTCCGCGTCAGCAATATTGTCGCTTATCTTTCGACAATTTGAACTTAGACTTTGAACTCTAACGCGTGCACTTGAGATGATAAAACTTGGTATGATGGAAGGTAAGGTACAGAATGACAACTGGCCATGAGGAAATTATTGTCCAAGGAAGGGGGGGGGGGTCATACTTTTTTTTGGTCCTCCTTGTCGCAGCTCTCGGCGCTGGTGACAAATATTTTTTGCTCGGGATCGACACTCTCGCTTTCGCAAGCTTATCTTTCTTCCTCTCCACTGCCTAGCTATTTTCTAAAGGGAAGTCGATCTTGACGGTCGCCTTAGCTATAGGACTTCGCGTGGGCAGCACGACTGCCTGTGCGGTTCGAATCAGTCGCCGTTCTTTGCAAGATATATTTTGAACGACGACGACACGTACAGTACTTGCAAATCTCCACGAAGCGCAGGATACTCCGAGCGTTGAGCTGCAGGTGAGGGAACTGCGATCTCAGATGGGCGAGCGATCCCTGAGGTGAGCGATCTCGTTTGTTTGCAAAATGGAACTGATTCCGGGTAGCCGATTACTTTCTTGTGCTTTTGTCTGCGCAGTGTGACAAGATAATCTATTTGATGCAGCGCTGTATCAATCAGAATCACCCACCCGTCGCTCTCAAAATCCACTCGAAATCTAGATAGACCTTTCAGGTACTAGTAAACTAACTTACAAAACAAAATTGGGATGAAATGGGCTGCCAAGTGAGCATTGGCGACATTAAAACAAAGCTGAAAGACAGGCGGCAATATTGCTCCCGCGGACCAAGTATTTTCGCGCGGACCAAGTATTTTCGCGCAAATGCCTCCGTGGATTTCCTCCAATCTTGGCACCTGTAGTTTGCATGGTCGGGCCAATTCAGTGACGTCTTCAAAAGGGGACGTCCCTGGTTAGATCTTGCCAGGTACCAGCCGACGTACTACGAAATCTAGCTGACGTTCGTCCATTTTTGAGCTGGAAGAAAGTGCTTCAGAAAACCTGTGGACAAAGTCGAGAACAGTGTAATAATTGATGAATGTATTCGTAGTAACCTTCGTAGCCATCACCCAGTGTCGTGGAGGGTAGCTTCAAAGTATCTCGGCTCTAGCTCATCTTCTTCCCCAGACACTTCTTCGCCATTCCGTCCTTCTTTTCCATCCTGATTTACTTGCGAATTTTTTCGGTTGTGGATAGTCACGGCTCGTTGGCCGCGTTCGATGTGCCCGTGATCACCTGCGCAGTGCATTCGCTGATATCCCTAATGGGTATTTCAAGTTTTCATATCACACATACAATAATTATCATGGTGAAAAGAACCGCGTAAAAATCAAGTCTTGTTTTGTGCTTTCTGGTGTAAACGTACACGTGCACGGCACGGTTATCGTGAAAGTGGGCCCCCCAACTCGCTTGCATTGTTCAGCCACATTACGCCACTTTTCTCGTTCACAGGTGAAATATCATAGCAACGGTCCGGTGCACGTAGATTTTCCTGTCGTTTGAATCGCTCACTAGCGAGGTTTCACCGTGGCTGTTCACAACCTCGGGTATTTATTTAAGTATTGGAAGGTGTAAAACTGGACGGCGCTTGGTTTCTTGGATGCATGGATTGGGGTAGGGAAATGCCACACTGTGGAAAAGTGTGCAACATGTGTGTATGTGTGTGGTGTGTACGTATGTGGGGAAGTTTGTACAATTTCTTAATTTGACTCAATTGCACATATGAAACTGATTATGCAATTGCACATATTACCAGACGTTATGCACTCACATGCAGGTTATAAAACTCTGGTGTTTTCTCTGGGTCAATACAGGCACACAATATTAGTGATAATGGGACTTGTCTTCCTCATCTGCTCCCTGATAATGGCTCTTGCTGCTAGTATCGTTATATCAGTAGGTGTCCTGATATCCTGCCGTAACATTAAGGATCTTACAACGGTACCGTAAGTAGAGTTTCCTTATCACCAGACCATCCGTGTGGCTTCATTTTCCTCTGTCACTATCTCCCTGGCTGTCCCTCTCTCTCTCTTTAATCTCTCTCTTTCTTTCTCTCTCTCTCTCTCTCTATCTCTCTGTCTCTCTTACCCTCTCTTTCACAATACCTATCTTTCTTTCTCTCTCTCCCTCTCTCTCTCTCTCTCTCTCTCTCTCTCTCTCTCTCTCTCTCTCTCCCTCTCTCTCTCTCTCTCTCTCTCTCTCTCTCTCTCTCTCTCTCTCGCTCTCGCTCTCTCTCTCTCTCTCTCTCTCTCTCTCTCTCTCTCAGCCTTGGCACCTACTCCGATGTGCTTTGCCTGGTGTTGAACAGAAGTACACACATTGGGGGTAGATTCACATGGCTTAACACATGTTTGTGGACAACGCACCTATATTAATTATTGTGATTGTCTTGATCTGCTTCATTCAGATATTGTACGTGTGTGCGTGTGTGTGCGTGTGGGTGTTTGTGTCTGCTATATGTGTGTTTACGCATGTATCCGTGCGGATTGGGTTTTTCGTGTTCACACAGATGGGATCCTGGATAGTTTCGGGTTGCTGGCTCTTCCATCTGATCTTTGCCATTGTGGACCTGCGAGCTTATCGCAAGCAGAAGTCTGGATCCGGGGACATAACGGACCCTAGTGACCGTGTGCATATTCTTGCCGACCCCAGCACATTTGAGGGCTCTTACAGGGACGACCCCCCGCCACCTTTTGAAGACAAGGATCCGAATGCGACACCCAGGCAGGCGGTGTGATTTAGACCTTGGCAGGAATTGATGGATTTACAAGTATTACATTTTTTATCTAGCATATTATATGTACAGCTATGTACAGCTATACTTTTTTTAAATAATTTTTTGTATAAATTAATCCTTGGCTCTCCATCCGAGTCTATTCTTATACGGCATTGGGTATTTTTTTAATTTTTTTTAATAATGGCTTCAAGCTTTTCCCACGCGGCTGCGGCTTCGTAATTCAAGTGCTTTTTATCCGATTGCAGTACAGTACGTTCCTATCTCCCTCTCTCTCTCTCTCTCTCTCTCTCTCTCTCTCTCTCTCTCTCTCTCTCTCTCTCTTTCTCCCTTTCTATCTCTCTCTCTCTATCTATCTATCTATTTCTCTATCCCTCTCTCTCTCTTTCTCTCTCTTTTATACTACACATTGTCTGGTTCTGTAGCCTTGGCGGGTATCACACACAAAGTCCAACATCAGTCGGAGTGGGATCCTTCTGAACTGTTCATATGCACTGCATCTTACATTGTTTGGTAGCAGTGTGATGTGACTTGTTTTTTTCATCTATTCAGCTTGGCTGCCCAATGCGCCAATGACATAATGTGTGCTGCAGGGACAGGGAGTAGTAAAATACCGGTACTTTACTACTCCCTGGTTTCAGCAGCACAACCATACTACTACTAGTGGGAATCCAACAGACAGTGAAACTGGGTGCACGTTTTCTACACACTCCGCGGTGTCGCGATGTGTCGAGCAGTTCCCCACCCACTGCCTCCGCTTACTATAGCACTTGCAATGTGCCTGTATTCGTTCCCGTTGATGATGAGAATACTTTGAGTATTCGCCGTGGAAGCCTCACACTTTAATAGCATTCGTGCAATCACTCGCCATGCGCTACAAGTACCACTGCACATACCTACCATGGAGAGCTACAATAATTGTAGACTGTACGTAGCTGCATGGTCATTGCATGCAGTGCAGGTAGATCATCTACAGCAAACACTGGTAAAAGTATGCATGCTACCAAGCACCATTCATGGGGTTCTGGATCATTTTTTTACGCGTACCGACTCCGTAGCACTGTATCGGCATTGGCCGCGTTTTTTGGCGATGATTGTAGGACGATCTACTAGACTACTATCTTTGTGGAAAGGTACGCTTGACAGACACACTGGATTATCAGGATAGCGATGCCTCGGGATCGGACTATCCCATCGCAACGAGAATTATCCATAGGAATGGTTTTGGAGTGTGCTTTCCAGAGACGTTGAGGTGATTGCGGCGACATTAATTAACCGGTACATGTATTGCAGATCTGCATCATGTGTATTGGGCTGCACTGCCACTGTGCCGGACCGTAGAGCTACACCAGACAATAAATTGAATAATGATCAACTCCCAAACTGCCCATGCCTACATTATAATAATTATCTGTATGAGGGTTACAGTGACAATGGCTATGTCTAATCCGCATTGTTAACCCCAGGTTTGGGGTTTCGCACGATGAATCCTAAACAATGTACACGTCTACAGACTAGCCAACCTCGGTGGTCCTCCATGAAATCCAGTCCCGTCACTCGACCTTCACTCAAGTACGCGCCGGGCGGTGCGCAGCCCTAGACCTGTGACTTCTGCGTACAATCATGTACTTCTTACTTACATGGTAATTATGTACGTCACTTGAAATGCTTTTGTCATAACACGTCATTAATCACTGTCAAAGCTGTGTCATTGGTGTAGCTCTGTGGTTTGGCGAGCCAGTACTCGTAGCTCTGCAGTCTGAATGCACCGGAGAGCCTGTCAGCTGAACTATGGAAGGCAAGTATTAGAAGGCAAGTATTAGAAGGCAAGTATTAGTTAGTTACATAATCATTGAGCATGCAAAGTGAGAATGTAGTGGGACGATTTACGCAACATAATATAAATTGGATGAGCCTCTGCAAACTCCAAAATTAATGGAATTCTACGAGCCTCCTTGTACATATAGAATCCACGAACACTTTGTTTTAGTTTCTTTTCTTTTCGAATCTGTTGCTACTGCGCAGGGAATTTACCCTGCAAGCACAGTGAGAGTGGATCCGGAGAGGTGAAGTAGAATTTAGCGCTATCCGGTACGGTGCTGGGTGTCTTCATTTCGGGCTCACGCAGCGCCATTTGCTCGTGTCAGGCGGATGGTCAGGTCTGCGCTGAAAAGAGCAAGGAAAGAGTTCATTCATTGGAAGTCGAGCGTGTGGGTCCATTCGCGCTGTTTACGTTCCGTGTTGCCCACTTGCTCTTGACGTTTTGTTCCCCCAAAGGGACTCTTCACCAACATCCGTACCCTTCGAAAGCCTTCCACATGAACATTCCAATCATAGAGTTGTGAAACACGAGTCGCAGAGCACCGTGGTAGATCTACTCTGTGACTCGTGTGATCCTGCTCACCTCCTGCATTGTGAGCACTCTTAGTCTTAGTCTTAGCACACCGGAGGACTCGGCTCTCTGTAGAGTTATGAAATGCACACATACAACACAGACACATACAAAATCATAAGCCTCCCATCGTATTGCACACTATGTAGCATGTCCCACCACAACATGACTGCAGCCGTGGGGTCACATAGACCTTCAGCCTGTACTCATGACATGTACTTGATCCATCTAACACGAGACTCGATGAGCATCAACCCGGGAAAGACCTGGGTGCTTCGTGGATCTGCAGTTCTCTTCTTCGTCTGTTGCACATCTCTGTGAGGCTGTGATTTGCATCCACCGTTCAACCGAACGTAGAGGATGGGTGTTGTTTCGTTAATAATTCGCCTTGTCCTGAACCTGGCGGTTGGAGGTGGTTCTGTGATGGTTATATACGCCATAACATCTTCGAGGTAAGTCCGTGAAAGTTCCAGAAACGTAAATAAACTTTCGAATGAATTATATCGCCACTCAGGATTGCGAAAGTTGATTCTGGGCATTGCAGAGGTGAACACGACGAGAGAAAGGAGATGATGTCCCGACGTGGTGTCACCGAGCAAGCTGATAGGCAGACGCAACACGAGACACCGGGAACAACTTACTTGGGGGGGTTGTTATGTGTATTGTTCCGACCAAATGCATGTCTTTCTTTGTGTGCATGTGGGTGTAATAACCCGCGGTGTACGGATGCGTGCGTTTGTGTGTGTGTGTGTGTTTGTGTGTGTGTGTGTGTGTGTGTGTGTGTGTGTGTGTGTGTGTAGAAGGGGGGGGGGGGAGCCGGGAGGGGGTTCCCGCAGTACATGTATGCCTTTCGCACATTGAGCTTTTTCAAGGTTGGACCAAAGGTCACTTTTTTAGGGTCGCGTGCGAGAAATGTTTGAATCAACGGTGAACAGGCAAAGCCCAGTTCACGTTCACTTTGTTTGGGAATGGATGCATGCAGGTGAAAGAAGCAGTAGAATGGAGCTCTGCTTGATGTCCGACAATCGTGTTGAGTCAGAGCAGTTGCCAGGAAGCCCTTCCATGGCTTGGGCGAAAAAGAACAAGCTTCAGAATCGCTCCAAGCACTGGTGGAGACGAACCTGTCAGATTTTGTTTACTTAACTTGACACTGCCCCGAAGTCGCTACAACTATACATTATTGTAAGAAAATCGTGTAATGAGATTGCAGGATTATTGCACATATTTCTTCTTATGTGTAAAATCACTTATGTGTGTGTGTGTGTGTGTGTGTGTGTGTGTGTGTGTGTGTGTGTGTGTGTCTGTGTGTGTGTTTTTTTTCTATGTGTATGTGTGTGTGTATGTGTGTGTGTGTATGTGTGTGTGTCCCATATGGTGCAGTGGTATGTGCAGCGATTTCCAATCGATAGATTGCGGGTTCGATTCCCGACGATTATGGTCACACACGTCTTTCTTCTCTTTCTCAGACTCTTCCTGACTTTTCTTTCATTCTCCTGGGTGGTTACCAACAGCCAGTGCATGCCGGAGTATGTGGTGTGATGTGTGTGCGGGGAAAAAAATGAAAAGACCAAAAATAGGGAGAAAATGTCACTCCAAATAGCTGTATGGCGTAGACCAGGCTGAATAGTGACGGTCAATTCTTCAGCCTTGCAAGCTGTTGAATGGTGAAATCCCAGCACAAGTTGCTATGGCTTCTGCCGTAGCATTGCTATCATCGCCTCCGGCGATGGGCGTCAAAGGTCAAGGTCAGGTGTGTGTGTGTGTGTGTCTGTGTGTGTGTGTGTGTATGTGTGTGTGTGTATGTGTGTGTATGTGTATGT